ATGGAAATGGGAGGGGGGAGGAGAGAAGCAGCTTGTAAGAAATGGGTGTGCTGGTGAGGAGTCTCAAACGAGAGAGAAAGAGGGACCAAATGAGGATTCTCTTTTTCCAAACAGAAGAAAAGATAGGCACAAGGGAGATGGAAAGAAAGAGAAGATACATCAGCACAGTAGCTGGGAAGGCAATCATGGAGGACAAAGTGAGCACTGCAGAAATAATCCAATAACAGTGAGAGAGAACAGAAGAGTCAGGTCAAAGATCAACCAAGTACATGCACATTGTCTGATAACTCAACAAGTCACAGTGATGTGGAGGTACATCTGACGATATTGAGGAAAGCATTTCAAGTGCATTTGGCTCATTTACACGTATAACTTAGGGCATGTTGTGGTATTGCCCATACTGGTTGGGCATCTTAGGGACCTGCTCATGGCCCATAACTGGTTCAGTCTGGTTTGCACATTTCGATTAACCCTAACAATCCTCAATCCTTCACCTGTTGGAGGACTGAGGACTGTTAGGGTTAACTTTACTGATGCCCAATTTGGTATCCAGAGAAATTGAACATTACTTGAGGATTTTTCTTTTCACGGTATAATATAAGTCAGAGTATAACGTGATTTAAACATAACCCTAATATGCAAGTCATTGTCTCAATAAATCTGATTGACATCTGCAGGTTCCTCAGTGATGTCTCAATTCATGTCTTCTGCACTTCTTAGTCATGAATAAGATCACATGCTATAGGTACGCTGATCTCTTAGCATCCTTCTCTTGAAAACAAGTCAAGTGCTCAAAATTGGAATGATAACTTAAAAAAAAATGTATAATAAAATCCGCAAAAGTATGATGAAGTATGTAAAGAAGCAAATAAGTAGAGTGAGTGGTATAGGCTTGAGTGTGCAACAGAAGAGCAAACACTGAAAAAAAGAAACCTGAGGCAGAGATGGAGGATGAATGCTGTGAATAAAATGAAAAAAAAAGAAGAAAGATGCTCTGGTAATCACGGCAAAGCAAAGAAAGTTCCGACAAGGATACCGACAGAGAAATCAGTAGCCATTTTTGCATTTGGACTTTTTTGGTAAAACTTACAGAGACTGTTATCAATTTGACAAAATTAAATCCAATTTGGACAGGCAGTATAAACTGTCAAAATTGTCAAGAGTTAATCGTCGGTTATAAGTTTTACTTACAAGCCGCGGAAGTTTTACATGGCCAGCTGGATCACAGGAGAATTACACTGTCAATTTTATCAATCAATCATCTACAAGAAAGGCCACTGTGCTGGCAAGAAGAAGAGATTTATACACCATAAAGAAAAGCAAGAAACAGCAGAAACAGTTGGAAGAAGAGCAAAGGAAGTAGAAGGAAATGGAAGAGCATCTGCAGGTCATTGAAGAAGAATAGAGAAAAAGATGTGAGAATGTGATAGATGAGAATGGTAAACTCCCAGAAGATAATTGAGATGCAGATTTAAAGAGTGGTAAGGCTAAAAGGAAAGCACTGAAAAGGATGCGGAAGGTATTACTAAGAAGAGAAAAGTAAGCAATCAACATAGTCAGTACAGCTTCAACACAAACACAGGAATCACTTGAGTGTCTTGTTGAGGCAGTTGCTGATGGTTTGGCAGGATCACCAAAAAAGGTCACTAAAGGAAAGACACTCGGCGAGCGTCTTTGCTAACTGTTCCCAAATTACATGGACCTCAAGACACACCCACATCATCCGGTCGGTGTTCAAAAATTCCATGAATTGGAAACTCAACTCATCCTGCTTGCAAAGATCATGTGAAGGATAGAGTTGGAAAACTGAATGAGAAACTCAAGCGACATCACAAGTTGGACAAGGTGGAAGATGGAAAATGACGGAAACGGAGTCTCAAGCAAAGACAGAAACAAATAAGTAAAAAAGAGAAGACCTGCATTTACAGAAGAGTGGAACTTTGTCAGACTTGCTACATGTACACTGTACATGAGCTGGCATTTCTTTCAAAAAAAAAGGCAGAATCAGCAAGAAAAAGAAGGTCCAGATGAAATGTACTGACCAAGGTATTTTTGGTACATTGTGTTTTTTTAAATTAAATATTAAATAGGAGAATACATGCATTACAAACTCAGTGAGAAAGTGAATTTGAAAGAGAAAAAGCTTAATGGTGTGCTGAAGACAATACCCCAGATAATTCAGCCAAAAAACATATTCCAGGACTTTTAAGAGTAGAATGGAAAAGGGAATGAGATCATTTCTTTGTGTGGTAAAAACTACTTTGGTAGAGGAGGAAAATTATTAGTTGTAAGGGACTGAACAAGGGAGAAAACAAACCAACAAAGGAAGAGCACTTAGATGTCTTCAGTGCATTAGGCATAACGGTATATCAATACTGTATAATACGTGTACCATGTTCTGGAGACATGATTGTTCTTGAAATATGTACTGGTATAATATTTTCACTTTGATTGGTAATAATCATAATTCATAAATACCTGGGACAGTTTTTCATCGAAACGTGTCACGTGATCACGTACATTTGAATTATGCCCACTGAGAAGTGATACTACTTGCAGTGAAAATCGCATGCTGGTACATGGATACAAGACAGTTGAATTGGGTCTGATTGATCAGGAGTCTATGTGCATGCGACGAGCAACGCGTGCGCCAAGTTCATTGAAGGGGATTCTATTGGACAACTTTCAAAAGGAATGTACCATAAAATAGAAGGGGGTGTTCAGGAAAATGAAAGTAAAATTTTAGAACAAAATGATTGGAATTGATGTTGACTCCTTTTGACCATTTGCATAAAAAGGTATTTATGGGAATAAGTATGTGCTTAGACCGGCCAAGGGCATACAGTGTACTTCTTCCTTATTTGATTACTTTAACTTTTAGTGATTGCAGCATGCAGATCAAGATGCCAGATAAGACATGTACGTGAGATCTGAAGCTTTGCATGGTGGAAGTTACATGAGATGTACCGGTAGGCTTACAGGTACACCAAGGAATCAATCTCTTTTGGAAGACTCAAGAGGTATGGTTCTTAGAAGAACCGGTGATTGTTAAATCTCCTGAGGATGGCTAGAGCATCCTGGCTGAAACGTCGAGTTTCCGTTCCCCCCACCTCTGAAAAGGTACTTATCGCCCCCTCCCCTTTATAGGCCGACCAGCCATTGGAGGTACATTACAACTTCATAATTATATTCTTTTCAGTCTAATGGCTGAGGCTTGCCTCCCCCCCCAATTTTTCCACTGCTGTTGGGTACTAGTAGATGTAAATGTTGCAGGAAATACATGTAGTAGTAAGTACATCAAGTGTTTGAGGCTACATGTAGTTCATACATGTATATCAATGACAAGAACTGCTTGAAGAAATTGGGGGACTCAGTAAGTTGTGCAATTGGGGGAGGGGAGGGAGCATGACAAATCAAAGTCTAGTTTGGCAGATATCGTTGGGCAAATTAATGACATAACTGTTGGCCTGTCACAAACTGAAACATACAATGCACCTGCAGGAATGCAAAATACCGGTACATAAAGGCTCTGTGCCTTGTATGTAGTAAACCATCCTCATGTTACATGCCGATATTTACAAGCCAGAAAGTAAACAAAGTCAGACCCATCAGCCTGGCCAAGACCCAGACACCTATATGTATGGTACATGTATTATTGGTCTCATAATTCATGCCCAACGTTCTTTTTTGCTAAAATTGCCTAATAACTTGCACTGCCAGTGCAAGACACATCCCTGGTATACGATGATTCTTTTCTAAATTGTAGGCGCCATGAAGCACCGACTGCTCATGACTACAGGACTCCTGCCCCTACATTTCACAGTCTACTGGTAAACTACCATACATTATAACTTTAAGAGACTCAGAACCAACCCAATTCGATGTATTGAGCTTTTAAACCAAAACTTTCCCTGGTACACTATGATTCCCAAATGCCTCTGATAATACTGCACAAGTTCAGTGCTGTCTCCTTGCCTTCATTACTACATGTACAGTTCTTGCAGGCTTTATTAGCAACATTCTCTTCATGGCTGGTGACAATACCAGCATTGGATACCAGTGAAGCCATGTGTACACATGTACATGTATGCACCATCAGCGGTGGTGGAAATGATTTTCAAAGTGGTTGGGCTAATTGTGAGACCATGAGGCATCAGCCATTAATAAACCGATCCATAAAGCCCCACCCTATTAAAGGACCTCCTTAAGTGGGAGGGGTCCACCAGTTGAAAAAGTGGGAGGGCCATGTACAAAGTACTATTCCATATAACCAATGGCAAATATCTGCACAGAAACAAATGGACCGGTACCTTGAACATTATTTCAAATAATTACAATTTGAAAACTGACATTTCTAAGGTATCCTTGGAAAATCAAATTGGAAAGTTATTACCTTGTGTCTTGCTTCCATTGCTTGCTGTGCGCATCACCTCCTTGAATTTGGCATGTTTCAATGACCTTTGTAAACATGAATGAAAACCAGCGAGTCAAACTCTGCTCAAAGAGAACAGCGGTGTAAGGCACTCCATACTTGCAAGCCTTTGTCAATGTAAAAATGACTGTTTACACGTATGATCGTAATAGTACCAGTAAGAACTTTTTGAGCAGTGATAGATGGAATGATCCTTTCCACCAGGCAATAAATTCATCTCCATAATAGCCAATGTATACCTACATGTGGGATTATGGTCAAAATGTGGAAGGAAAAATGTCAAATCCAAAGTGTAAGGAAGGAAAATTAAAGGTGTGACTTAAAAAGAAAAAAAACATCAACTAAAGAAGAATTTAACAGCAAACAGTTATCCAATTTGAAAATTTGTCAATTACCAAACACTCTATGCCCAAGAGGGATCAGCTGTTTACATTTTGCTTGAAAGCAGAACAAGTCTGAGCAAAACACTGATACATGTGCAGTGTAAATACACTACATCAACAGTTGACTCTGCTGATCCAGTTGGCACTGATGCAAAGACTACATGTACAATCAATAATCCTTACCCTTACCAAAACGCGTCAACACGGTTCTTGCATCGCATCTGTATTGTGTGGTGCATCCCGGATGCAATCTGTGTCTCCAACTCATCTGCTCTGTCCATCCTCAGTGTCTGTATTATGTAATGCATTACAAATGCAATACCTGTCTCCAACTCATCTGCTCTGTCCATCCTCAGTGTCTGTATTGTGTGGTGCATACCGGATGCAATCCCTGCCTCCAACTCATCTGCTCTGTCCATCCTCAGTGTCCGTATTGTGTGGTGCATCCCGGATGCAATCCCTGCCTCCAACTCATCTGCTCTGTCCATCCTCAGTGTCTGTATTATGTAATGCATTACAAATGCAATACCTGTCTCCAACTCATCTGCTCTGTCCATCCTCAGTGTCTCTATTGTGTGGTGCATCCCGGATGCAATCCCTGCCTCCAACTCATCTGCTCTGTCCATCCTCAGTGTCCGTATTGTGTGGTGCATCCCGGATGCAATCCCTGCCTCCAACTCATCTGCTCTGTCCATCCTCAGTGTCTGTATTATGTAATGCATTACAAATGCAATCCCTGCGTCCAACTCATCTGCTCCGTCCATCCCCAGTGTCTGTATGGTGTGGTTCATCCCTGATGCAATCCCTGCCTCCAACTCATCTGCTCTGTCCATCCTCTGTGTCTGTATTGTGAGGTGCATCCCTGATGCAATCCCTGCGTCCAACTCATCTGCTCTGTCCATCCTCAGTGTCTGTATTGTGAGGTGCATCCCTGATGCAATCCCTGCCTCCAACTCATCTGCTCTGTCCATCCTCAGTGTCCGTATTACGTGGTGCATCCCGAATGCAGTCCCTGCCTCCTACTCATCTGCTCTGTCCATCCTCATGATTGCGGCATCAGCCTGCCAATTACTTCATCACTGAAAGTCAGACAACATGAGACAAAATCTCCCATCTCACAGTCCTCCTGCATCCTTCCACTTGGAAGTCCCAATTGCTCCCTTGCAACCGAACACTGCCAAAAAATGGAAACAAGCTTGAAATCCATGAAGATATGTATGAACCATGCAGTAAAGTTGAAATGGAATTACAGCAAACAAAAAGTGCGATACACGTACTGAACGAGTACTCTTTGCAGTCTCAATCTGGTACCAGCCTGATTGCAGCCTCAATCTGGTACCTTAACACAATAAATATAGCAGGTTCAGCAATCCGTGTGTATGTTGCTCAGTAATTTTGCATGTGCTGCGTTAGTTCTTTTACCATACCATTGGACAATATTTCAAAAAGCTGCGTTGACGCATGATACTGACGCGACTAGCTGCCAGTTGGAGGCTCAGCTTGCCTATGGCGGCAGCGTGCAAAGAGCAAACAGTGTGTACATGTAGACCTAATAATGCTGCAGCCTTGGCTTTAACATGCAGTTTGGCTTTAACATGGCATGGCATTCATAGCACGAGTGCATGTAAGGTACCTGTGATAAAAAAGCAACTCATCCTTGATAGTGTAATATTGTGTGCTCGACACAAGCTAGAGTTGTTCTGATGGTTGCTTGGTTTATTGTGTGTCAGATGCAGGAGTACAACTACATGTATATTATATACATGTACCTCTATACATGCAGACATGGGGCTAGGTCTAATGGGGTACAATATAATGATTGATGTATAGCAGGTGGGGCCATCAGGATCCAGAAGGGGGGCAGAGCTACAAGGACATTGTAAAAAGGAAACCATTGCAGGGTAGAGTGATGGTGGTCAGGAGCGGATGTGTAGGATACTTAATCTAGCTAACCCCCCTCACTCTCTCCCCAGATAACTGCTTCATTGCACGCCTTGTGCAATTTATTATTGGTCATCAAGTTTGTGTAGGCCTATGGGGGGATTGTATATTTGGGGACCCCCTAGTTTTTTGACAGTTTAATCTTTCAAAACTGGTGAGTTCCCCCCAAAAAGAAAGGCAACACTCTCTTCATTGCACTGACCCCATTTTTTTGAAATTTCAAATTGTACATTGTGAGAAAAATGTGACTTTTATTAACTGATATTGATAAACCAACCATGCAAACTTGAATTCACCATGTGTTATCTGTTAAAACACAGTTTCCTCTCAAAATTTCCCTGAAAACTCAAAACCCTACCCTTTTGACAGTAATGAAACTACATTTATTAACCACTTAGCGCCCAGGTATTTATCAATATTGATGATGCTGGGCCGGCATATTATCATTTTTTCCCGTTTTCAAAATTCTTCAAAAATTCATCATTTCATTTAACGGATGTTTATAGCCACACGAAGTAATCTTTAGGCACTACTCTAAGTTGACAGGTAATCTTCATCAATGCCCAAGAATTTCAGCCAGGCCTGTAGCCTTGTAAAAAGTGCAGCGGTGCTGTGTGGCTCATTGCTGCGGTGGTGGACCGCTTTTGTCCCCGTGGTAATCCGCTGGCTATAAATCCTGGTATACGGTTTCAAAACAAGGCTGGATTATCACCACTTTTGAGAGTGAAAAATGCCGGTAATGCCCAGCAGCCTGGTCTTTTGTTCGGAGTACGGTCTTTTGCTACAGGGCCCTGTTCCCTTTGTCCGAGTTTGGAGACCCCAGCCACCCATATAAACCATACGTCTCCGATTCCGGAGTCCCCGGCTGGTAGTGGTTAAGCATGATGTCACAGTCATCTACCATGGTCAATTAAAAAGTTAAATGTAACACTCCCTTCTGTTATAGAAACAGGGTCCCCAAATTAACAATCCCCCCTATTGGCCTACTACTCATCATATGTACTGCCTACTGCTAGGCTGAGATTCCAACCGTTCGGAAAATAATAGAGCCTGCAAATGCAATTTTGTATTCATGCATAAAACCTCTTAGGCCTATATCAGTTTTTTTTACAATTGATGGAACAAAAACGCTGGGGATTCCTAAAAGTACGTTTACTGTACTGCCACGATGCGCGATGCTAGACCATGGGACTATAGGCCTACATGTAGGCCTCGAGTCACAGGACTTCGCTAAAAAAGTTAGAAAATGTGAAAATAAATTTTTACCGGCAATGGCGATATCGTAATTCCGACAGTTGAAGACATAGGCCTAGGCCCACATGTATGTGTTACACAATTTCTGGACAAGTTGGCACAACTGTTGAGTTCACTTCCAAAAAGGGAGCATTTCCTATTATCACACTGAAGATACAGAACACGCTGAAGGGAGAAGTACCAATCACGTGGTAAAAAAATAATTTCAAGCTTCGCATCGCAAACAGCCGAAAGAGGGCGTTATCCGCTGATCGTATTACCACAAGTGCACCACCACCAGGTAGCTCCAGTGTTGTAAATGCAGGTTACCAATACATTTCCAATATAGCACGTGAACACGTACGTGGAAGGTGCACTATATTATAGCCACAACACTTCAAGCATGAAGTTCCACATGGACAAGTTGTAAACATATGAATCGGCTTGAAAGATGCTTTCGTTCTCTATTCTACTCTCAGGTACTTAAAACATTTATGAACAATTTGTAATGTTTATTAACATTTCCCTAGGCTTGGGCATTGCAGGATAGGACCTACCTGGCCGTCCCCGATCGGCGATTATTGTTTTGGTGTAGGCCCTCATGATCATCACCGTACCTGTAAGGCACTGAACATACGCAGTGAATGTCGGGGCACTTTTCTGTACGTAACTGAAAGTTTCGTTCACAAGGTGTTCCAGAGTAATTAATTAAGGGAAATGAATTACGTGTTACACATTTATAATGCCCAGACATTTTGACATTGACACACACTTAGTTCTTTGTTGAATTTCCTTTGGCAGTAGGCTTGTTGTTGAGGAAACGGTAAATTAACCCTAACCCCCAAGGGTGTATGTACAATCGTATTGAAATTTGAGGATTTGGGACTGTTAGGGTTAAGGAAATAAATGTGCAATTTCAACATTTGATTCACTTGATTTTGAATGCTCTCGCTTGACTAGCCTGTTTTCTTAGAAATTATACAGGTATTCAAATGAAAATCACTGCTTGGTGGTGTGGTTCTTGCTACACGTGATATCCATTACAAAGTTTACATTAATTAGCCAGTATTTTATTGCTTGAAAATCAAACCAACATCTTCTCTAAGTGGTGCACTAAGAATTGTATACTAGGACATTATACTCGGACAATCTGTTCTAAGTTTGAGCTGATGCCACAGCCAAGGAAAAAGTTTAAAGTATAAAATGCATCCCGGACACCGATCATAATAGTGATCTGGAAAAAATGTCATAAAACAATGCAAGCACAGGTGATTATTAATAACACATTAAAGGGGGCACACTGGACCCGTACCACGGGTACACCAGACTCGTCTTAATTGTGGGCACACCAGACCCAAACCATGGGCACACCAGACCCAAACCATGGGCTCACCAGACCCAAACCACGGGTACCATGCCCAAAGAAAAATCCAAGAGAAATGTAATATTTTGTGCATCTTCCCACTGTGATGTCAAACATTCGGTCGGGAAGTCACATACATCAAAACTTAATTTACAAGCATTCTTGAAATGCAAATGCAAAAACTCGTTGAAAGGAATTACAATGTCAGTAGTAGAGGTTTCCCACTGACGTTGGACATTCAGTCGGAAAACCTCGAACCCCAAAGAAGCAAACGTGATATGAAATGCGCTCGAAACACATTACAAATGAATTCTAGTACTCCCACTGATGTTGCATATTTAGTGAGGAGTATGTGAATAATATACACTTATAAGTTACACATTGAACACTTGAGAAGTAATATCAGTAATTCACTTATAAGCGTAACGAATAGGTTGGTTGCTGACTGTCTGAGTCCGCCAAAAAATTGCCTGCAGTAGCTAATTAACCTCTCAAGCAGCCTCTGCCAATGTCGAACATACGTTAGGCAGCGTAAGAAGATAATGCAAATAAGGGCCTATTAAAACACCAATAATGTAACAGGATGTTAATGGAGTAATACCAGCCTCCAGTGACAAGGCTCACCCAAACAACTTCAAAATATAGCCAAAGCAAGCAATTATGCTTGCAATGCGAGACTAACTCAACCTGAAGGTGGTCGATCGGGGAGGCGGCGGGCAAAATTAAACTAGAAAGGCTAACAAGAGTTCTGCTTGCTATAAGAGGCTGTTTACAGAGTGACCAGAAAATTACAGTCGCGCTACGAGCCAGGAGCTGATGCGGAGGTGGCGCATCTCATTGGTCAGAAGTTTTTCCACACTTCCAGATTTGCATAACCAGGTCCCTCTTTGCATAATTATACCATATTTGGCATGGCGCACTCATGACCTTGCTCACATGAACGGGACTAAAACGTTTGTAGGTCAATTTACCTACCCAGTTGTGCAATGCATTGGCACGTACAAGTACACCGTGTACAAGCGCCCTATCACGTGAAACCTCCTCACCTTACGCGCTCCTGGAAATAAGCAATACACCGAGTATAATACCTTTTACCATCTGATATTATATAGTAAAAGGTGTCAAGGTGCACATTTCTATGCCTGGCAATCTTTTGCATTTTAGTCCCATAATTCAATCAATGTTTCAACTGCATTTTATGAGTCCAAAAATAGCATAAAGCCTTAGAAATTCTTCCTTTTACTCTACAGTTAAAGGATTGAAGAATAATTTTGGGAGAATTGACGTTGGTGTATAGCCTTGAAGACACACATGTATCCATGCACATACCAGTGTATTACATTACGATTTTAGGATCCAAATATGGCTTGCCACATATCTAACATCAACACTTTAACATTAATCAAGTACTAAATAATGTTACAACCACTAATTTTTACAAGTTCTATGTAACATTGATTAATGACACTATCAACACTTTTTTAGACTAATTTGAGTTGAATAATCTCGGACTTAATGCATGAATCTCAATTCCAATGATATTGGTTCATACCCCACACAGACACAAGAAATAGGTACAGTCAATGGTTATCGGAGTTCAGAGAAATTATTCAAGATTATTCATTACATTCCTGTACCCGTCTTTTGTGCCTTGACGTTTTATTGCTGTTGGCTTTTTTCCCAGGGATAAAGGAAGTGTTGTCAGTTCCCCCAAACAGCTGTATTCTCTGTCCAAAAATGATGATGACGGCTGAAGGATTCATCTGATAAGAGCTCTACAGCCCGATGCTGGTCATGGACATTGTAGCAGTCATCAAGAGCATTGGTGTGACTGATCAAGAGACCAGTTGCATTCACACAGACGAATCAGCATGGAGATGCTGATGGCTGCATAGGATGCCTGAACTTGCAATAGTTATGAAGGTAACACTTCTGTAACAAATTTTCCATAATAAGCAGGAGGTCGTGGGTTCGAGTCCCACCCGAGTAAGCTTGTGGGGTTTTTCACAAGCTCTCTGAAAAGCACTGAGCATACAGTGCTTATTAATATACGTTGGGTAAGGGCAAAACCTGTTATATATAATTAACATCTCCCCAACGCAAAAATACATCTTGATAAAGTACAAATACTTCATTTTCAAATACCCGGTATATGTTCTAACCAAACTGGCTGCACAAAGTTCTCCACCCAACAGCCGCATTCCAGTAAATATTCAGTTGATCTATGGAAGGAATCCACAGTGCACTATCACAAAGATCTTCTAGGCTGAGAGAAGCCAGGATGATTTTTCTCCTTGTTTGGATAAGTCACTTTTGACACGGTGTAAGGTGAAAAGCATCAGCGGTTTTGGGAGAAGGTATGGAGTGATGGCTGGTCCCAATACCAGCAAACTCTGGACAACTGCAATTAGCATTGAGTGAGTAGCATACTGGGTCTCCTTTGCTGTAGAGTTGGAAGTGTGTTAATGTCTTCATTTTCTTCTGTGGTTGAAGATTGTGGACAGAATATTTAGTTTGGTGGTTTTTCAACCTGTCAAGTGCATGTGCTGTAGTAAAGACAACTCTTTCACAAAAGTGTCATTTATTTCACTGAAAAGTTAAAGAATCATTTCATAAACATCTTTGCTTCCAACAAGTCCAGTGCTATTATCAGTCTTGGCTGATGATGTTCAATGTCTGGAGCTCTGGTCAATTTTTCTGTGTTTCAAATTCTGCTTTAGATATGCAGTAGCTACGTGTATGTACACATACACATGTGCGTTTCGTTATCAGGTTACCCCCAGGCACGTACCCTTGCCATTTTGTTGTAATGTTTGTGCAGACTGATCTGTTGAGGTCTTTTATGCTGCTTCCCCAGTTAATCCCAGTTTTGTTTGCCTGCTGTCAAATATGACTGAATGTAATGAGACATTACTTTGAATCTAATGCCACTGAGATACATGTACATGTACCTCTGATTGCTTTTTCATGTGCTGACAGGGACTTAATGGAGGATTAATTCTCACTTTGACATGAGTCTTTCAGTTTTTTTTGTTTTGGACAGCTTGTTGCTTAGTTATCAGTTATTGTTACTGATTCCTAGCATCATGAATGGCCAACTTGACAACAGTGTATACAATCTGTCAAATAGTGAAGAAGTTGAAGCCATGGTAATTGGAAATTTATTGCCTCAGCCAGCCCTTCTGTTTATATAAAATAACGAGCTTTTCAGTTGGCTTACATGTACTTACATGTACTCATTCTTTTTCACTCATAGGCGGTAACTGGATTTGTCATACCTCTGTCTTGAATACTGCCCTTTCATTGGCCCATGAAATGATCATGGCTAGGTGATACAAATGCACCTATTACCTTTGGGGTGTACATTACTTTCGAAAAACAGTTAACCAACAGTAAAGTTTAATTTCATTTGTCTGGTAACAACATGTAACTATCTGTCAAGTTTGTACCTGTATACAATGCACACATGCACATAGTTCTGAATAACATGTGATTCATTGCTAATAAAATCAATCTTAACTTAGTTTTATGGTGCTTTTGCCTGTTTTCTGTCTTGTAATTTCTCATTAAATTAGAAATACTGTTCTTAATTCTCCAAGAATTAACAAGTATCACTTTGCAACTCTGTCAGCACAGTCCTCATGGGCAAACACATTTAGCCCTATGAAAAACACTGTGTTTCAGCTGAGACTGTTGAGTTGAGGCCCCCCTGACATCAGAGCTTGTGTGAGCATAAACATCAAACATGTGAATGAAGTCTTACAGGGTTGTGGTAATGTTCAGTATGGAAATTTCTCAACTGAAAATGGGGAGG